GTTCTAAACTTGAATACGGCGCAACGATATGGTATCCTGTTTATGAGTACCAAACTACAATGATTGAGAATGTGCAAAAAAAAATTTTTAAGTTTTTGTGGTTCAAGTAGTATGGTCTCTACCCCCCACAAGGGTTTAGTTAAGCTTTGCTACTTAAGACGTTTAGTTTACACTCCTGTCGAAGTCGAAGGTTAAGTGCTCTGTTAAAACTCCTACACTAACTTATCCACAATCAACTAGATTGCTCACAGTTATTACAGAAGCTTTCATTTAATATTCCTAGGCAAAATTCAAGAAACCCCATTCCATTTTACGTTCCCACAGCACGCACTAACATTTTCCTTAGATTACCAATTTATACAATGTGCACAAGTTTCAACGATATATCTCCACCAATTAAAATACTAGGAGTAATTTCAATGTTAAGTTTACTAATTTTCGTTTATATTAGTTTACTGTTTTTCCAACTATTACTTTTTCATAAATATATTACTAATAAGGTTATAATTTAAATTGTGTAGATATCTATTTGTTTTGCTATACATGGTTATTCTATCTTTTCTGCGTTTTTTTATGTTAACTTAATTTTATTTTATGATTTAAGATTTTTACTTAGTCTGGATAATAATTGCTACTTATGATAATGTTTGCTATTTTTGTTTTTTTTAAATTTTTTAATTTTTGTTTTTTTTTTCTCATTTAGCGTTTATTATTGTAGCTATGTACAATGTACATTGATAGCAATTTTTCTATATCGTCTTAGAATTGGCTTGTTTTACTGTTAGACAATAAATTCAGTATTATTATTATAAGTACGTCCAGAAAAATTTGAACTTTAATGACATCAGTTATTGACTATCCTATTATCCATACTTACATACCCACAAAATGGTGGTATAACTATATAAAAACTATCCCCCCGAAAAAATGTCATGCTAATCCAGTTAATCACATCTCAAGACACTTCTCGTTACTATATACACAACATATTATCATTGGAGGCATTGTCCCAGGTCACATTGTGTAAGTGGTTTATTCGTAAAAATATCGAAACTAACAGTTTTACCAGTCAAGTATTATGGACAGACGAGTCTTACTAATTGCGGAGTGTTCAAATCAACATAATGAACACTAATCGTCACAGGAAAACCTACATGTTGTAGTTCCACGCTGAAGTACAGTGCATCATGTAATTATTTTCATTGTTTTGTTGCCTCGAATAAATTGTGTTTTGTTTTTTTCGTCATGGACTACTAGATTAAAATATAGAAATCGTTGATATAAATAGCTTGGTATCATGTTTGTCAATCTTATGCTATGATAGGTCGTTGAAGAGAAAATTTAAAAATCTATTAAGTAATCTAAAAATCCAATATGGCGTCTATTTCACTTTAGGAAGTAGGTTCATGTTCCTCAAAAGTAGCCATCTTGAATTTTTTTACATCAACTCTAAAAAGGATATCAAAGACAGTAACTTTTACATAAAACTTTGTTTTGTATCTCGTATACTTTCGATGATATAGCGACATTCAAAACGAAATGATCGATTTTAGTTTTTTTGAAATTACGTCCAACCTATTCGACATTTTGAAGCATCTAAAACTGCGAAACATGGTCCATTTAACCAATTCTCTATGGTTAATACCTAATAAAAAAAGTTACAAATGCAATCCCACGCGATCTGGGACACACTGTATATAGCTTTCCACGTACAGCCATTCTTTGACTTGAGAGCGTTGCAAGAGATTGTACCTACATACGGTAAAGTGTAAAGTGCGAAGTGTCCAGAATAGCCTTGAAGATAGGCATTCAAAAAACCTAAATACTCACTCTGGGATATTATTAATGGCTGTTCAGATAATTAAACACGTAATTATGCAGGCTTTTTCACGCAAGCCGTTACCTAAAAGTATTCAGGCTGTCATTCATAATTAAAGAATTTAAATCTGACAATTTGCATAGTTTTTCATGAGGTTTGTCATGATAAAAAGCCAGCTAAACATCACGAATTTTGAAAAATCTTGAATAATTGAAACCTTTGATTCTGGATATAGCGAAATTGGTATCAAACGACGTAGATTTGAAAACCTACTTAATGTAGATTTCGAAACTACGATAAAATATAGGGTGTTTTATTTAAAATAAGAAAGTTGCTATCCACAGCAGGTAAAACCGGAAGTGAAACAATCATGACAACATTTTCTTTCGATAGATCAAAAAAAACTGTCCTGGAATGCAAATTTTCAGATTAAGAAGATCCTGAATACTTTTAGGTAATGGTTTGCGTGCAGATGTAGCGTATTTGTTGTGCAAGGACGTGCCCTTGGTGAACGGGATTCTCCCGGTGACGTAACTAATGAGAGCGAGAGATTTTTCTCATGTTATTTGAACAGATACAAAGAGATAAAAAACAATTTTTCATTGCCACTTTTTGAGCTCTACAAGACCCCGTTGGGAGGTTTTCAAAACAACGCTTCGTTTCAGAGAAATCATCATATCAACTTTATTTTTTTGTATGGCCCGTAAAGAAAGTACAGATTATGATTTCTCCGAAACGAAATGTTGTATTGAAAATCTCTCAACCCTGTGTTATAGAACTCAAAAAGTGCCAATAACAAACTGTTTTTAGCTTTTTGTGTCTCTTCAAATCATATCAGAAAAAACTAAAATCGAAATCGGCAAATTTTGGCATATCTTCGGAAGTAATCGGAATCTTCTGGTTTTCTTGAGAGCATTAATAACTCCTTAATTGGGCATCTTGGACACCATTTAAAAGAGTAAGTTATCGCATTTTCAAAACTGACAAATTGTAGTAGGTAGGTACTTGAATTCTTTCGTTTTCGTCCATTCATTTGGTATTGCGGATTTAATTCCGATTTTTATTCTTTATTTAATCTATTTATTTGGGATTTTCAATTATGCTCTTTGGGTTCTTCGATTGATTATGGTGAATTCTGTCTGTGGTGCAAACTCTTTGAAGTTCCATTAAATTGTTTCGTTTGTTAAGGTGCAAAACTTGGGTGCAAATTGTTCAAACTCTTTACAAGTACATACCTCACAAACATCGGACCCACCCCCCACTTCTCCGGCCCTTACGCTATAGCCTATTGTGCCTTATCGATACTTCGTCACTAAATCCAGCTGTTTCTTCAAATTGAAGCTCCATTTTTATATATTTTTTTAACATTATCCATCGTTCCTCTAAATGGGGTTGAGTGATATCAAAGATTAAGAAAATCGGTTCTCAAAGCCTTCCCCATACATTTTACCGTTAACGGTCCAGACACGCCGTCTGCTTGTTCTGGAATTTAATTTATTAATTCTTGAATAATGTAATCATCCAAATCATATAACCGGTATGTATAGCTTCCCCCCTTTTCCAATATGTGTTATTTTTTCAATTTTCAACTTTAAAAGTTCAATGTAAAATTCAACGTCCGATTGGTTGTCTTTAATTAGGCCACCCTCTTCGGTTTTAGAGCCCTTAAATGATGCATTTAAATATTTGTCTGTGCCGTAAAATTTAAGTTTCAACACATTCCATCTTCAATGTGTCAAAAAATTTCAAAAGTATAATCAACCTTCTTGACGTTTTTGGCGTTTCAATATTCGAGTCTGCCGGCAAGAAAATGTCTTCAGCACTTCAGCACCATCTATTCTTTTCATTTTCAACCCGTCTTCAATGTTTAACCTTTACAACAACACCTTCCATCAATAATAATTAATTTCACCTGATGATGGCGATTATTGCCGAAACTATATAGTCGGGTTTTAATAGTACAACAATAAATTTATGGGGAAGGCTTTGAGATCCGATTTTCTTAATCTTTGATATCCATTTTTATACTCAAGAAATCAACAAATATCGGATTACTATCTATAGTAACACGGTTAATAGAATAGTCGAGTTTTAGGACTGGACCGGTGGAAATGAAAAATTTCCGGGTGGTTCTTCGTCTACGCTTTCATATAAAAGTATATGTATATGAAAAGAGATTGTGAGTTTTCTTCCTGTACCTTTGAAATAGTTGATTTATAAAAATGAACTGAAGTGTCCATAGACACGAAAACTGAAAAGTGAATCTTTGTGTCATGAAATGCTAATATCTTGAAAAAGAAAATAAATCGAATGTATTAAAATTGGTCGCGCTTTATGTGCGAAATGACTCGTCAACAATAAGCGTGTGACCCACTCATGTCGTTAACAAATCACAAATAAATGGGTGCAAGAATAATAATATAGTAATTTCATGGCTAGAGACGATCCGGATGCGATTAGGACGCGTCAGTGAGGATCTATCAGCATCTCTGGATCTAGTTACCCAAAGCCACGTGACACCAGGGTGTACGCACCGACAATATGACCCTTGTAACGATTAGATCTGCGTTTGGATGAGTGCCGCTTATGGGAGGGTAAATTGTTTCGGATTACTACAATACGAGAATTCTTCCAACGGTAAACTTGTATACAAGCAATTTGTGGCACGCTAATTCAAATTTACGATTTTGATTTGATTCGCCACTTTAAACTGTACCCGAAAATGAATTATTTCCACACGCGAAAATTGTTTTAGAGTAATTCAGGAAGCGGCGTAATTTTTGTCTGTAAAGTTCCATGTATTCATCACGAGGATGACTTTATAATTCTTCGCACAGTTCCCTCATTTTTCATTCTGTTTAGAGACGCATGTTCAATTTAACTTTTCGTCGACGATTTTTATCCTCTACGAGTCTCCGGACTTTCGAGATGATGAAATATTCAAAGAACAACGCGAAGCTCAGGTGCATTTTCCGGGCTCTTATACTAGGGCGAAATTAAACCTAACGATATCAATATCTATAAGAGCAATTCCATCACGATCCATTATATCTACTGCGAAAATTATTTATTTAAAAAGTACTAAACTTCATTCATTTTGTCTCTGTTAAAGTAACGGATGAGTACCTACTAAGCAATTTTCTTACTAAGCGAGTAGCGGTAAAATGCTTTGTTTACCTACCTGCACTCTAGCTTCCGTGAGGTCGATCTTCATCGCTATTTCTTCACGTGTATAAATATCGGGATAGTGAGTCTCTTGAAAAGCTCTTTCTAATTCTTTTAACTGAGCGGATGTAAATGTCGTTCGAATTCTCCTTTGTTTCCGTTTCTCTGTTAAGACCCCGTCGTGTCCAGGATATACTTTGTAAGGTAAACCACCTGTAATTAGAGAACGTGTTAGTCGCGAATGGAATTAAAGTGTAATTTGAAATGTTGCCGCCGCCATTTCCCACAAGTTGCAAGAGCTTTGCGAAGAAGAAACGCCTATATTGATCGTAGAATTCTCCCTGCTACACGCAATGAAAAATGTCCGCCTTGCCTTGCCACATCTATCTAAAGAGAAACCCTCTCTTTTCTTTCTGCACGTCTGATTTTATTACATCAAATATTTCAAAAGAATTTCATTGCCATTTCTCATCTCTCAATCGTCACCGAGACAAAAAATACGTTAATAACAATTAATTAATTGACTTAAGAAAATAGATGTAAATCTTGCAATTACACGGGCATAATGAGTAAAGCGGCATTAACGTAAAATTAATAGGGCTTAAATTTGCAAGCAGATATAAACTTAATTTGCCGCATCTTTAGGGTAGGTGACGTTTGGTTATGAGTCTCACCACAAGAGGCGCTACATGAATACTACAGAATGCGGTTACATTTCAGTCATAACAACAACACCTACAATATGTTTATGGCCTAACAAGAAAACCTTTATTATTATTATGACTGTTTCAGCGGCTTACATTTACATGTTTTCATGGGAATTTTCACAGCGTTAAGGAAATTCCTTTATGTGTCTAGCTTGAAGTGTTTATGTCTCTTTCTTGCATTGCTAATTGTCACATGTACTAATCAGGGGCACTTATTCGTATTATGATCTAATTCTAAAATGGAAGGCTAGCAAAGGTATTGACAAAATTACAAAGTCTCGACATTGTTAGCCACTTTGCTGATAAGCACACAAAGGTTCGTGAAAAACAAACCTTCCTTGAAACAGTACTCTTCCAAATGTCTCCTCGCTAGAAACATAGTTTTGCTACTTCCTCGATGAAATTGACAAATGGAAGGGTACAAAAATAAGCAAACAGGTAGCTTTTTCAGCACAGTCTTCTTCAGGCACCGCTGATTTGAACATTTATAATAAAGTATGGTAACAAAACAAATAGAATGACAACGTTGCCATTTTGTCTGTTCCATTTGTCAACACTGCTCGAAAATCGGAGGAAGTATAATGTTCGCCAGGAAAAAATGCCAGTCACAGATTACCTGACGCCGGTCTAAGATCGTATGGTTTATAATGAAAAACATACGATTTTAAACTAGCATCAGGCGTTCTGTGATAATTTATTAACTTTGTCGAGATTTTAATTTTGTTTTAAATATTACTACGTTCATATTCACATTATTTTTGGTCCAAATTTAGAATCAGTTCAATAACAAGAAAAATGGGAGAACTTCACCTTTGGCAAGATATGTGGCAAAAGAATTTTATACAAAAAACTGTCAAGCCATAAGAAGTCACTTTAGCTTTGCATAAAATACATATGCAATTTTTTGTCAAACGTTGCCAAAGAAGAAGAGGCAAATAAATATTTTAGAATTTCAGACATGATAAGCGATTATTAGCCGGTTTTGTTTTCCATGGTAAATTTATATAACAAGCATTAAAAGCTGCAAGGTCGTGCAGTTTATTTCGTCATCGCAGACTCTTGATGATTGATCCGAAATTCCAGATAACAATGGGCAGTACTGGGATACCGAATTTGGAAATTTCAACCCGACCACTACAGTGAGGATAAATACAGGTAGCTAATCTTATCTATTGCAGCAAACTTCGTCTTATAAGATAGGGCCGGATGTCACTGGAAGCGCGCTTAATTAATGTGAAACTACGGCTTCATCAATACATGTAACGCTGGAACCTTTGGATGCAGCCCGTGATAATTTGAGCACTCAACGAGAATTTCACACTGGAAAACACCGTGTGGTGGTTTGCCACAGACGCTCCTCTGTTTGTGTTCACAATTCATCAACGAATGGTCAAACCTTTGACAAATGAAGCACTGTAATGGATTAAGTATTTTGCTTGTACTTTGTGTATTTAATTGTAAAAAAATTACGTGTTAAAAGATTAAATTTATTCTTTTGTAAAAAGGCCATCTCCGGTCATTGCGATAAGAGCGTTATCGCTGCGAAAGCTAATTAAGTTTGTAGATATGTAAGTTTCGGCGATAAGAAAATACAGATGTTATATTCGACGGCGCAGTAGTTTTGATAAGAATGGGAAGATGGTGCGGAAAGTTGAAGAAAAGGGAAATTATTTTAAATAGCAGAGATACACGTTAATCGTTGCATGATTGGTGGTGGAGGCTTTTGGTGTATGGTCATAATAAAGGTGTTATAGAAGAAAGTCGATTGTGCTCTAAGAGATTTTGTTTAATACGTCGTTCAAAGTGACTGTGTAAGTCGAGTTAAGCGGAAGCTTACGAAAAAATTATTCGGAGTGTTGTGTTTATCGCGCGTTTTTCTCATAAGGGAAGCCTTTCCTAGTGCCCGTTAAACGGGGTTTTGTTACCATGAAAGAACCAATAAAATCCAGTGTCGTCCAAATCGAGATTCAAGTGCAATCAAAATGAAGTGAAGTATCATCGTTTTGGGGTCTGTGTTTGTGTATCAGTTATAAAACGCGCATTTGACTGAATATTTTGGATTATTAACAGCTTAAGGTAATTAAGATTGCTTTAATCCTTCCAATCGATCGCTCGTGGTGCGGTGCGTGTATTTTGGCCCTGAGTGCTTTTTATTTCAGCATTATTTGATTCATTTGTCTAATAAATTTGTTTCACCTGTAAATGTTCTTTGTTGTGTTTAACCGAGCCCAAATTACGACCCGGATAAGAGTTCTCATGGTAAATTTTTCTGTTGGTACCCAAAGTTATGCCAAATTGTAATATAATTCTTTGGAATTGTGGAATTGCTGAGTTTTCTCAAATTTGATAAAAGTTGGCAGGACGTAACTTTTTTACACACAGTGCGCCAAGTAGACTCAAATGAAACATACCCGTTGCATTCTTCCTAAAAGATAATTTCCATGTATCTACCAAGGAAATTATTTTTCAAATAAAACAGAAAAAACCAGTTGATTACTAATGTTCCTTAGTAGGGAAATCTTCAGAAAAACAGCCAAACGACAAAATGGATTCCTAAATAGAGATTAAATTTTATAGAATCACAAGCTGTATCCCCCAAAAGAGTATATTCAGTGGCGTACTTTCGGAATTATCAGGAATCGTTCTACTCCTCAACCAACTAACCAAAATTAATCAATTTGGACCGACACTTTTTTTTAATTTATTCGTTTCATGTTTAGCTTTCCGTAAATGATTTATACTAAGCATCCTGCGCAACGATGAAAACAAAGAAACCATTTACCTTCATTACTGTTCCGAAACAATTGCTTCTATTTTCGTCATTATCCGCATACTTTGGCAAAAAAAATTCATAAGCGACTTTTTGCTATAATAAACTGTATAGTGTATAGGTATAGATAATTTTGCACCAGGGCGAATCGTATACTTAAATTTATTGTTCTGTTATTAAGGCATCTTTGGTAAATAGTGAACTTCTCAAAAAGCACAGATGGCAAGCTCATTTAGTTTAGAAACTATAGACACAACGGACCATTAATTTTATTCGTGAATAGGTAAGTATGCCAATTATTAGCCACTTAATCTGTCATTTATTGCATATCTTTTATTGTATTCTGCCAACTTTTGAGAATAACGTAAGCAATAAAGTAGGTAGTTTTTTATGTACGCAATTCTGATGCGAAGATATCTGCACTTGAAATAACGCGCGGCCCCCACAGCATACAACGTGAGGCTGATGTACAAAATTAATTGAAATAGAAATCGGCAGTAAAACAATAATAATGAATGAATCCGTCAATATTTTTAGAAACGCGAATGTGAGCTTATTTTAAGAACATCCACGAACGCAAAATCGACAGACAACTACCTCAAATAAAAATAAAATTACATCTTTCTTCCCCTTTATTTTCTTTATATTCCAAGGGAGTTTTACATTCTCCGCATGAAAGAAGTGGATAGAATATGAGATAATTTGAAGACTGATGCTACGCGCGTCTGCAGACTAGTTGCTATAAAATCATGATGTGAAGACAGTTGGAAATTTCAAGATTTGGATGGAAATTTGACATCAAATTGTCTGTTGAGAGATAATCCGGCGAATGGGGCGTGAGGTTACAATCGCCGGTTACTTTTTATTAGGTATGTTGATTCGACGGATGATCTAATAAAGAGGAGATTCGTTTAGCTAATAAGTGTTAATTAGTAACGAGATATCAAAACAAACCCGTTGTTATATATTTTAGTTGGTGTTTACATTAAATTGGGTAAATTTGATAAATCGATGTGTTACATTTGCAAATTGAGTAATTAATTTCACCATTGAATAGTGTCCATGTAAAATAATATTATAAAATTCGAAGTATTATTGATGCTTGCTGCACAAGGTTTACTGTACTTTTTACAAAAATCGATGATTTTGAATATAGGAATGTAGGTACTGAGTGCAGCACTTATTTTTCAGTCTCTAATTCGTTGGCAAAGAAAGAAAGGTTTCCCTTTGAGGCAAGCAATTTTCACATTTTCACAATTTAATAATTTCCTTTCATTTCCTAAGTTAATCGAAATATTACCATCACTAATACTGAATACTGGATGTGTATCTTCGTGTTGGATCAATGGTGCATTAGGAACACCAGTTCTAATAAAATATTGTGTATTATTGGCTCTATGCATCAGATCATTATCATCATCATTATCATCCGCATCGCATTAACAGTAACTTCTATGCCAAATATGAAATGTGCTACAACGTAACCAATACAAATTCCTTGGGAAATTATCTGAATTTGATAAGTAAAATACCTACTACCTGAGCCACATAGTTAAGCATGAGTCATTAATGTACGAGTATATCTCAATAAAAAGCTTACATATTGTTTACTAAGTGTTGTAATATATCTCTCAGTTTTTGAATTTTACCGTTCCCACTTATGCATTTCATTAAAGAAAAAAACGCATGCTATGCCACTGGGATTGTTTTACCGAGAAGGGCACAATTCAAATTGC